TGCGCCCAGAGCTGCACGCAGCTGGAAGCGTGGAGCTGTGCATGCGAAAAAAATTTGGCGCCGGCGTTGGCGCCAACTGTGTTCGGATGAAGCTGGAAATGGAAGCCACAAATTTGCTTTCACTCTTTTCTCATCTTGGGTATGGCCTTCCCTCGCCCGCTGTAGCCTCTACGACATACTCGCATTTTAGAGTACAGGCTCCAATTCCCCCCCGATGGTCCGCGGAACACGAAAGCAAGAAGACATGGCGACATGGAGCAAACAGATTTGCAGTTCTTTTCTTCTTTGCTTCCCACGAAAAGCGTCAAAGGCACGGATTTACGGAGGATGATTACCTCCCCAAGAGTACGGCGCTGCAACGCACAGGAAGTATGCTTGGGAACAAGGGGAGCATAAAAGCAAGGTTGTCGACCAGGGGAACGGTGAGGGCCCTCAATGTGCATGGTGAGGAGGATCTTGCTGAGGGGCCGGGTGCCTGGCACGAGCAACGGAGAAATTCGCGTGTTGCAAAATCTTTGCAGAGACATCCTTGCTTTTTACCATTGCGCTCTTTCGCGACAAATACCACAGAAAAGCAAAGCAGCCTTTACTCTGTTCATGTTAGTTTGGTCTGGCGTGCCTTACAGGGGTAAGGGGTAGGATGCAGAGTGGAGATGGCGAGAGAAAGAGAAAACAGGGGCTGCTAGTGTCTCCAGGTCCAAGGGCCCATCGCCAACCCTTGTTGATGGATCTTGTAAGGAGTACATGTAAGATACAGAGTACAACATACACTGTGCTCCCTCCAAACGGTATTTTTCCCTCCTCCTCATTTAGCTTCTGTGGTAAGATATTTTTGCTTCTTTCCTCTCGGTTTACTTGATGTTCGGGCCTGCTATTTTCCTCTTCTCCCTCTTTCTTTTCTTTCCCCCCCCTTTTTTCTTCTTCTTCTTCTTTCTTTTCTTTTCTCTATCTCCCGACAACATGCCAATCGTAAAAGCCACATTTTGTGCTAGTTGAGCTAGACAGCTGTCAAAAAGTACAGGTACTTTTTACCTTGTCATTTTCGCCCACACTCTACTTGCTTTCTTTTTGTCGTAACTGTAATGCTGTGTTATGGGACGTAAATAAAAAGGGCAATTTGAAGCCTTTGAGGTTCACTTGTTATCAAATATGGCGCGTTTATGAAAATCGCGATCCTAAAACGACGTACAACTCACATCCAGCTACGTACGAAATACGCCAGTACATATATTTATCTGTACGGCAGGTGATCAAGCACCGTCAACGGATATATCACACATGTTGATTAATTCATTCTTTTTTACGATCCGGTGAGTATAGGGACAACACTTCGCTTTCCGGCAAGCCTTATTTGCATTTAATATTTACAACCCGTGCAGCATCCTTCCCTTGCAGACGTCGGCTCGACTCTTCCTTCTTCGTCCCGCGTCTGCTCGGTTCCCCGTCCACGCTTCCCATCAACCTGGGAAAGAGCATCCCGGCCTCTTTCTTTCATTCATCTATCGTCCCTATTTGACTCGGCATCGCTCCTTCCCTGGTCGTCGGCAGTCTATATGTTATTGAAATAGCACGTATTGCACCAAAGGAAGCATGCTAAGTACTGGTACTTCGTGCCGTGGGAGTTATGAGCGACTAGGATGAGATCGCTGCGATCGCTCTTTCCTCGTCCTTCCAAAATCAGGGGCAGGCCGCAACTCGCCGGACTCAGCACCGGCGCCAAACTACCAGCCATCAAAGCAATACCCCTTCGAGCCCCCCTTTTCCAACGGCCGCCTGCTGTTAACATCCGAGCAACGAAGGCAGCTGAAGAACAAATCCCCCCTGTCATTTTTCTTCTTTTTTTTAGGCCCTCTCTTTATTTTTTTCTTTTTCGCTGTGTCATAAGAGTTAGTCGGGAAGGGACCCATGTTCCGACGGCAGTACCAGGGCTCTTTCCGCATCCCATTGACCAATCTTTTCCGCCCGTTTCTTCTGCGCTTTCCTTCTGGGACCTGGTGCCCTGGGCTTTCCTTCCCAGGTGCTCCTTGCTTCTTTCCCTCTTTGTCGCTCCTTCCTGTACAACATATTGTCGCATTCTTGCAGCTGCTCTGTCCTTGCCCTCACTTTACTTACTACTCCTTTCTCTTTCCTCTTTCTCCTGACCTTGATCCGCCTTCGCAGTTTCTCTTTTCCCTAAAACGTGTTTTCTTTCTTTTCTTCGGCTTTTGTTTTTGTTCCTCCTTTTCCAATTATCGCCAACCTCGCAACTCGCACATATCCTCCCACGAGCGCCGCACTTGCAAAACTGTCACGTCCCCCTCCTTCGGCAGCACAAATCGGAGACACGGGGCCGCCTCTGCTCCCGCCTCTTTCTCTGTCTTCCACTCTCTCCATAGGTATGTAAAAGTGCCTGCCGAAGCCCTCTCCCACCTCGTTTGATTTCTTTCCCCTGCCGCCATACTCTCGTCTTGTTGATCTTTACGTCAACGAGCTGTTGTTGAACGCGCTGCATGTCAAGCGCTGTTCATACGAAATTGAACGGCTCGGACGGCTCGACCGCACGAACACTTCGACCAACTACATCTACAAAATGAACATTCTCTTCTTTCTCGTGTGTTGCTGCGTGCTTGACGCATTTTCTCGTTCTCTTTGGCCCTTGACTTACATCAAATGCCTCCGCACTCCTCCCCCTTTTGCAGTAATCGACCAAAAAGCGCCCCGTCCGCACACACCTAGCCGTGGCACACTCTCCTTTTTTCTTACTTGCGTCGCACAGAGTGTAGACCTACTCCATCGTACCTTCACTATCACGACGCCTGTCTTGTTCAATCGACCATTGATCGACCCTCGGCCGCAACTGAACGCTCTGACCATCCAGCGTTTTATTCCTCTCCATGATCGACGCCCTCTCTTTTGCCATCGCTGTTCCTGCAACGGTCCGAAGAACTGCCATGAACGCTACTCTTGTTTGCTCTGTACTCGGCCCAGCATTGTCGATACAACAGCTCTGAAACAGGCCTAACCACCGCCAGCACCGCCAGCACCACCAACAAACACCACCCCGCTCGCCCATCTTCCACGGGGCTCTTGGAGTTCTCTTGTTCAACCTCCACTCTTGAAGCTGCTGTTCTCTGCCCTCCTGAGAGACGAATAAGAACAGACCAACCTGCATTTGTGCCGTCTTGTCCGTGCTTTGACTGTACAGTCTTCCTCCTACCACACCTCTGATTTGGTCAACCCGTCTACGATCCCCACCTGCTTCGAATCTACTATCTTTTTTCCTGCTTCTCCCCTCGCCACAGGAATAACAGTGTACCACAATTAAGAAAATAACATTGAGCTCAGGGAAGGCCGATAGGATTACCATTTTCTGCATAATACAACCAAGAGTCGTACTTTGGTTGCTTTCCCCCTGTCTTCTTGTGCTGGTTGGACGTGCGCACGAACACACACGCGCATACGCACATACACTCGCATTGAATGGCTTTTGGGGGCAGGCGACATAAGACTATCACAAAAGGTTGGAAAACTTTGGAAAACTGCTTCCCAGGCGCGCTCCCGTGCCACTCCTAAGAAAGGATACCTCCCTGTCTCATTTTCCTCTTTCACTGTTGATCCCCCAGAATATCTCAGGGTGAGACCCTCTCTCTAGATCCCTTATTCTCATTTTACTCTCACCCCCCATTTCTACCACCACCCATCCACAACGGACGAAGCAAGCAGCAGCAACAACAACCGCAATCGCAACAACGCAGAGATCAAAGCAACAACAGGCTGATGCTGAAATACCGTCGATTAAACACCCAGAAGCCGACGACAGACACACTTGCACCTGTTCTCTGTACTCGCCGTCACCAAACACTGTAAGGAACATTGCTCGAAACATCTAGACGTTACCCATCGCCTGGCCTTTGTCCTTTCTCCGCTTCCATCTTTTTATTGTCGCCTCCTCGCCACCCTGTTTGGAGGAAAGAAACCGAGACGCCACGTTAAGCAACTTTTGACACCAACTATCGAGCAACTTCTTCCACATGTTCTTTCGATCGAACAAGTCATCAGACGGCTTCAGCAAGGAGAAACGCCTGAAAGAAGGGGAGATTTCAACGACCGCCCTTCGCGATCTTGGTCTTCTCTCTCCGACCAAGCTCCAGCCACAGAGCCCTAACTGGAGGGACGACTACGACCGCCAAACCTACTCAAGTGCCGGGCGGTCAAACGCGTCCTTTACAGGCTCGTCGTTATACCCCGAGAAGAGTAAGACGACTTCTTCTTTGAGCATCTGCGCTTGCATATGCCTGCTTTCATAACTCTCGCCGCATTTTCTACGACTATACCCACGCTGCTGCTTTGCTTCCCATCTGTTGCTTCTAACACCACCTGCTCTGGCGCGTTTTCTGATGCGACTCGTAGCCTGTTTGCATCGTTATTTTTATATATTTTTCTCCGCGCTCTTACTAACGTTAAGCGACGTCACAGACCCATCCATAATAGGTGGTAACTTCGGTGCGCCATCATTCCGCTCTTCGGCATCAATTGGGTCTGGTACATTGCGTGAAGGTCATTCCGGGCGACACTTGACGACAATGACTTCCGACCGAAGTCGTACTCGGCGGGAACGCACATTTGTAGGCAGCGAATGCGCTGTCTGCGAAGAACCACTGGAACACACTCTCCGTGGTGAGCGTATATTGCAGTTTTCCTGCACGCACGTCTCGCACGAGGCATGCTTCTACGAGTTCATTCGCGAGTTCGAATCGCAATACTGCCCGACATGCAATGCCCCCCTGCATCTCGACACAAGTCGTGGTGGTAATGTGCTTGACATCGGTAGGTTCTGCCGTATTTTGATACGAACCGCGAGGAACCCCAGTGACTGATACTTTTGCACAGAGAAAATCACCAACCTGGTACGGTCGGTATCGGTCAACGACACACGTTCTATTACTGGCACACCGACGCCAGCATGGGAGGACCAGACAACTCGGCCGCCGAGTCGGGGCTCGAACCAGCGCCCAGCTGTCATGAGCACGAGCAGTGCGGGAATGAGCACCGTGCACCCGAACCACAACGGCTCCGGCTCGCGAGACAGCACGCGCGACAATACTCGTGAAAGTGGCCGCGATAGCTCTGCGAGAGGCAGCTACCGCGATCGGGAACGGGAACGGGAACGGGAGCGTGAACGGGAACGAGAACGAGAACGAGAACGAGAACCGTCTGGTGACCGATATGCGACCGGCGCGAACTCACGGCACGGCCGCAGTGACAGCGAGGCAACAGGTGTTGCTTCCTCAGGGGGGTATCCCGAGACTGCCCAAAGCGGTCCCCGGCGTGCACATGATTATGACGTGCAGGCCATGGAGACAACATTGACTAGCCCGCGCTCAATCACACGCAACCCGATCCCAGCGCCTACGGTCACCGTTCGGTCCGAATTCCCGACCATTACCCGTTCACGCCAACAACAAACTCTCACATGCCTTGTTACGATAGAAGTGCCAGATAGCAAATGGCGTGCCGACCCAGAAGACTTACAACCGAGCAATATCGCGACACCCCAACTGCCTCCGCCTACCACATCTCGCGGTACAAATGGCGAGGAAAACTTTGGCCGCCAAACGTCACCCGAGCGACAGCCAGCGCCTCGTTTCTATCCGTACGAATCGCCCGAGGTCCTCGAGGAAATGACAGAAAATCTGCGCAACCGTGTGGATAACTGGCACGGCCTTGACTTCAGCCGATTTGGCAAGCTGCGCCTTTACGGCACTCTGCGTGTCGGTAAGGACAAGGTATCATGGCAGGAGCTTGAGTGCTTCCTCTTCGCTGAGATGCTTATTTGCGTCAAGGAGAAGAAGAACTCTGGGAACGCCACGCCTGCCTCGCAACAGCAGCAGTGGGAGGGGACGAATGGCTCTCCTGTTCGCAAGACGACTCGTTGCACACTGAAGGGCTCCATCCTGATCAAGAAGCACCTGAATGAGGTCACAGAGACGGGCACAATTGACGAAAATGTCTTGACGCTGAGCTTGTCGGTGGCAGAGCTCCCGCAGTTCCATCTCCGTTTCGACAACCGCAACCAACTCAAGCTTTGGCAGCAGGCGTTGCTTGACTTAAATGCCATAGAGTCGTCACCTATTCGCAGCCCTGCGTATGACCGTGGCGAATTTTCGGAGACAGAAGAGGAAGATTGGCAGCAGCGTACACCTGGTAGTGGCCGTGTGGAACGTGTGTCGTCTCTTGCATCATCGTGGGGCGGAAACAAATCCATCACCACCGCGGCAACGGAGTACACAAGCTATACAAAGAGCCCTCTCATACCAGCACCATCAGCATCGGTCCATGTTCCGATCGATGTTGTTGTGGTTGTCCCTATCTCTTCGTCCATGCAGGGCGTCAAGATCAACCTGGTACGGGATGCTCTACGCTTCATGGTGCACACGCTTGGCGAGCGTGACCGCATGGGTCTTGTGACATTCGGTTCTGGCGGTGGCGGGGTTCCTCTTGTGGGCATGACGACCAAGTCGTGGCCCGGATGGAGCGGCGTCCTGTCTTCGATCAAACCGGTTGGCCAGAAGAGCCACCGTGCGGATGTAGTCGAGGGCGCCAATGTCGCTATGGATCTACTCATGCAGCGCAAGTACAACAATCCTATCGCAACAATCATGCTAATTAGCGACGCGTCGACCTCTGATGCGGACAGCGTGGACTTTGTTGTGTCCCGTGCCGAGGCAGCCAAGATTACGATTCACTCTTTTGGCCTGGGCATGACGCACAAGCCGGACACGATGATTGAGCTGTCGACTCGGACCAAGGCCTCGTACACGTACGTCAAGGACTGGATGATGCTACGGGAATGCCTGGCTGGTTGTCTTGGGTCTATGCAGACTCTGTCGCACCAGAACGTGAAGCTCAAGCTCAAACTGCCCGAGGGCTCTCCCGCCAAATTCCACAAGATCAGTGGTGCGCTGCAGATTACGAAGCGAGCCACGGGTCGCGATGCGGAGGCGCTGATGGGTGACCTGCGCTTCGGCGACAAGCGCGACATTCTTGTGCAGCTTGTCATCTTGCCCGACAACTCTTCACAGGAGCAGTTGCCGCAGGATGCATGGGAGACCATCGTTTCCGGTCTGGAGGCTCTGGGCGGTCCCGTTGATCAGGACGAGCCGCGACCCGTGTCTGTTGAGGAGGTCCCTCTCATTCAGGCCGACCTTAGCTGGGGTGATATTCTGCGTGATGGCACTGTCGTCCAGATGCCACGGCCATCGCTCTTGGCCATCACCATGCTCCCGCCCACCAGCCAGCACAAGTCGCGGTCGTGGCAAAATACGCCGCCCATCCCCCCTCACCCGAGCATTGTGCAGCGTCGGATGGAGCTTCTTACGTCCGATATGCTAACCCGGGCACTGACACTGGTTAGCCGCGGACAGCATGAACGTGCGCACACGCTCCTGAACGAAACGCGGTTGATCCTGAAGGGCCTGGGCAAAGGCGGTTTGCCGCCTGTCCCTCCTCTGCCTGGTATTGGTAAGATCGGTGGCGCTTCGGTGCCTACAACGCCACACCCGGGTGGTGATGGATCGCCCATTATGCAGATTGGCACGCCCGATCGGAAGCGCACACCATCGCCCGCTGCCTCGTCGACTTCTGCGACGGCGTCCGGTTTCCCTCTGTCGAACACAATGCTTCCGCGCACCCGGTCCAACGATGCGCTTGGCGGCGCCATGGGCACGACCGCCGGCATTGATGCCAAAACTGTGGCAGCTCTCGACGCCGAGCTCGAGGCCAGTCTCGAGTGGATCAACCATCCGGCCGTCTTTGGCCGTGATAGCCGCAAGGCGGTGCTCCAGGCTATTGGTGTGATTAGCTCGCAGCGTGCGTTCACTTTCCGCACGCCGATCGAGGGCCTCTGGGCCAACCGCGTCACAGGCGTCAAGCGGCTGACAGAGAAGAGCCGCGAATGGCGCGAGGAAGGTGGTGGCGAAGGCGGCATCATGGAAGAGGCATAAGATACCCCAGGAGTCATGATCGTTGTTTCTGTACCGAAATGAAACGGAACAACCAGTTGAGCGATATCAACGCCGCATGAAGTCGCTGACGAATAAGCGACGCAATGCACTGGCATTAGGGTTCGCTTTTGCTTTTTAGAAGGCGACTTGCGCACGACGAAATGCCCCTTTATGTTTGCCCCATTTATACACGTTGTCGGAGTTCAGACAATGATTTTGCTTTGTGTCATTCCGTCTTGCCCTTTGTTTTATTATTATTATTTATTTCCTTCAGTTTTTTTTTTTTTAACGAAGTAAATACGTCGTGCAATACGGTCCCATGTATACTCAACTTTTGTATGTGGAAGCAGAAGAAAAGCCAGTGCTGCTTCGTTGCTTTCAGCTGTTCGTTTTGTGTATTTTATAGGTTCGACATCCTTTTCTTCTTTTGCTTTTTCACGCGGAGAATGGATAAAAATGACCCGCCCATGTTGTTTTCTGTATTCTGTACATGCGAGAAGATACCTACTTTCACTAGCTGCGCAAAAATTTTCTTTTCCTTGTTATGTTTGGAAAATACGAGGCATAATTATTTAATTTCCCGAGGGTGCCATCCAAGTGTCTTTGGGGTCGTCACGGTACGAAGCGTATTTCCGTATAGCACGTCGTTGCCGGCGAAGGCAGAGGCAGAGGCATCGGGATCGGCCGGAGACTCATTTTAACGGCGGTAAATGGCCGAAGTGAGGGGAAAGAGTGACGATGGGTAAGAAGGTGGCGTTATTGTTGAGGAAGAAAGGAATAAAGGACAAAACAAGGTGGCCTACAGAGTATGACGTCGACGAGCATATTTGGCAAGAAACGTGCTCGAGCCCGGGTATTCCGGCGGAACAAAGATCGGTACAGAAAAAATTATCATTTTTATCAGATCATCTCCCGCCAATCAGCAGACAGGTGGGCGATACGAGCGAATTTTGGCATGCGACCGTCCCTTGCCTTGTTGTGGAGGCTGTTTTCCATTCCCCTTCCGTTCCCCTCACTCTTTTGTGGCTCTATTTGTATTTTGACTTGAAGACTTGAGCGAGTGCAACGGCTTGGGCTTGTACTTGAAAACACGAAACATTGATGAGCTGCTCGAGTTCGCGCGCAAAAGTCTGTTTCCTCATCCCGTCTTTCCTGGGAATTGTTTTTCGATGGCCCTTTTCCTGCACGCGATGGCGGGGATCGGCTCGGGCGGTTGCGGGAAGAGAGATAGGGTAGTCCACGTTTATATTTACAGTGGGGTCAGTGGGAGCGGAAACGGAAAGTGCCCTGGGAAGCCCCAAAGGCCCCTCATCACCTTGGTGCCCTGGAACTGTATTGCGACGTAAACTTTGGGAGGGGAGGGTCCCTGCTCGTTGTTGCAACAGTATAGGGTCGCACTAAGTCGATATATCAATCAAAGACCAGGAACAGATCCCCTGTTCTTCCAGACTGCGGCGATCAGATATCTTTGCTTGCAGCACTGGGGCTCAGCATTTTCGTCCACCGTCGGTGCTTTACTGGGAGGAAAGCATGAGTCAACCGGGAGGGTCAGGCGACGGCAACAGGCAGGAAAGTAGTGTAGGCTACCGCATCATCTTTCGCAACAACACATGATACTCCGCTGGACGTGCGGATGAAGGGCGAAAGGCGACTGGAGAGCGGCGAGAAACGGAAATAGCGCGCCACACACATACTGACTTCCTGAACGGGGAAATGGGCAGATGGGAAGGAGGCAGCGAACGTAGAATACGGAGGGATGTGGACAGAACGGGCAGGTGCGAGCAGCGGCCGCATCAACGCCGCGTCGCACGTGCGTCGCTCTTTCCCAGACAGCACGTCAATAGTTCACGAGGATGAATGATGGAAAGAAAGAAAGAGCGGTGCTGCCCACAACAACTGCTCTTTCTTCTTTTTTGCAGAGTTGCATATCCGCCCCCTTTTTTCTCAGATCTTGGAACTCTCTCTCTTCTTTTTGCTCTCTCCTCATCTTTTGGCTTCATTGTCATCCATACATCCTCTATCCCCACTGTGATCATTTACTCGGAGACCCCCAACCTATGTCGATTCCCCACACACCATCCTCCTCAAAAATGGCCCCATACACCGTGGCTGCCTGGACAAGTTAAATAGGAGTCTGCAGGGTCAGTGGTGCCATCTTTTCCTCCTTTTTTGTTTTCTTTTCTTCTGCCGATTTTGTCTTTTGTTGCTCAGCTCAGGATGCAGAGAAGCCGAGGCGCAAGGGAACTTGATGTACCTCGACGTTCACATTGACGCCCTCTTTCTTCTCCTCTCTACCGCTCGTCCCTCTCTACCTTTTACACCCTCCTAGTCTCCTCCTCACTTACGCGGGCACTCACTTGGCCGCCTCCCAACCGTGTCCAGATCGATGGCATCGTCGTCATCTAGATCTGTGTCCCATGGCTGGTCCTTGGATAACCTCACTCTTCGCGGGTAGAGCCACACAAACCAAGCTCAACAGACGTTCCTGTGAGGCTAAGTGCGTGACAAGACTGTCTGGCATCTTTTCTGTCTTCGGAAAGCTTTGACAGCTTTCTCATTTCCTACTCTCCCTCCTCCGAAGCACGACTTCAGCAGTCACCCACTGCCGAGAGTCGGTTCCGACTGCAGCATTATGTCGGGCCTGTCTAAGGATACTGTCCACGCGAGTGACACAACCAGCGACAAGACCAAAAAGACCGACGTGACCGACGTGACCGACGTGACCGACAAGACCGACAAGACCATTGCCGTCCACGGCGTCACAAGTAGCGAACAAACCAGCCTCCTGCCGCCGACAACGCCGTCAGCACCGCCGACACGGCCAATACTGTCCAGCCGGCCTCGGAATTATTCGTACGGCGCCATTTCCTCGCCTGACCAGCCCAGCCACATTGGCCGTGCCCCTAGCGCCGCCAACCTGCACCAGCTAGGTGCTCACACTGTGGCAGCTGCCCGCGCTAACAACACTGCACGAACCACATCTGTCAGCGGGAGCAAGCGCCACCAGACCCACGACTTGATAACCGCGATAAACGTCTCCTCTGGCGACGGCTTCGTCGCCAATCTCGAAAACGATCTTGAAACCAATCCCGACTGCAACCCGGTCTTGAATGCCGACGTTGATGGCTCGGCCTCGTCTTCGTCCTCGTCCTCGTGCGCCAACTCCGACTTCATCTCCGTCGCGAACATGCCTCCCCAAACCGCCTTTCTGACCAGCTCCCAGCGCCGCCTAGCCATTGCCTACTGCGGCCTGCTACTTGTCGCCTTTACAACCTCTCTCGAGGCGCAAGTTACTGCGCCGCTGGCTGCTTTTGCCGTTTCTTCGTTCGAGAACCACTCCCTGCTCTCAACTGTCGTCGTTGTCCAAGGTGTCGTCAATGGTGAGCTCTGGTCCCCTCCCTTCCTCCCCGGCCGCTCTCAATTTGCCCTCCCGTCGTTTCGTCTTTGCTGACTCGTCTCCTCCCACTCTTTCCTCAGCCGTCATCAAACCACCCATGGCCAAGTTGGCCGACGTCTTTGGCCGCTTTGAGGCTTTCCTCGGCGCCGTCTTGCTGTGCGTTGCTGGCTACGTGCAGATGGCGTGCTCCCACAACGTCCAGACGTTCGCCGCCGCGCAGATTATGTACTCGGCCGGTATCACCGGTCTCCAGGTCTTGAGCCAGATCTTCGTTGCCGACACGACCGATCTGCGCCACCGCGCTCTCCTATCGAGCCTACCCGACACGCCTTTTCTCATCACCGTCTGGGTTGGTCCCTCCATTGCCTCCGCCATTATCAACGCCACCTCTTGGCGCTGGGGCTACGCCATGTGGGCCATCCTTCTCCCCGTCGCATTCCTCCCTCTCGGAGGTTCGCTCGCCGTCAGTGCCTACCAGTCGCGCAACCATCGTTATCGCCAGCGTCGCCGGAGCAGCTGCCTTGGTGGGCCCCGACCGAAGAGCTCGTCCAGCGAGAGCGGCGGTGGCGGCATTGGTGGTGATGCTGGCGGCGAGGATCCCGGCGGCCTCCCCGGCCTCAGCCGCACCAGCTCCCGTCACACTCCTGGCAGCAGTGGCAGCCGCAGTCGCCTGGCCCGTAAGAGCAGCTGTGCTAGCATCAAGGGGTCGAAGGCATACTCCACGTTCCGCCAGCTTCTTGTCGACCTCGATGTTGTCGGTATCCTCGTTCTGAGTGCATCGCTGTCCCTGGTTCTCTTGCCGCTGACCCTCGCCGAAAAAGCGACGGGCGGCTGGAGCAACCCGGCTATTGTCTCGTCCATTGTCGTCGGCTTGCTCCTTCTCATCTTTGTCTTCCCCGCTTGGGAGGCCCGTCCGGACTGGGCCCCGCACCCACTGATCCCACCAACGCTCCTGCGCTCCGTCACCTTTTGCGCCGGCTGCGGCGTGGCATTCTTCTTCTTCGCCGTCTTTTACCTGTCTGTGCAGCCCTACTTTTACTCCTACCTCCTCGTCGCCCATGACCAGAGCGTCGCTGCCGCCGGTCGCATTACGCAGATCTTTTCGTTCACCTCGACCATCGCCGCCGTCAGTGCCTCCGTTGCCATCCGCCATCTTCGCCGCTACAAGGTCTTTGTTGTCACCGGCGCCTGCGTCTACCTGACTGGCATCAGTCTTATGCTTGTGTACCGCACTGCGGACGCCGGTACCTTCCGCCTTGTCGCCACCCAAGTCGCTGTCGGTGCCGGTGCCGGTCTTATGAGTGTCCCCACCCAGATTGGCATCCAGGCCAGTGTATCGAGTACCCCACGTCTCGTTGCGGCCGCTACTGCCGTCTATCTGACTATGGGAGAGGCCGGCATTGCCGTCGGCGCCGCCATTTCTGGCGCGCTCTGGGCCCGCCTCGTACCCGCCAAGCTCGAGTTGTACCTGCCTGAGCCTGCCCGCCAAAATGCCTCTGCCATCTACTCCAGTGTCGTCGTCGCTACGTCGTACCCCTGGGGCAGCCCCGAACGCATGGCCATCACCCGCGCCTACCAAGAGTCCATGACATCCCTGCTGACT